TGGGTGTTCTTTTTTACATGTTACTGTGATCACGCACGCACATTCATTGTCGTTGTGGAGCTGGATGTCGATCTCGGAAGCCAGAATTTTTCTGCAAATGCTTATGAGTAGTCTGCGGATATTGTCAAGTGCTTTTAATAAAGGAAATATTGCCCGTTAATTCTTAAATGTGGTTTGACTCGTGACGCAGAGATGACGATGAAAGAGAATCGGTACGCTCCCACCAGCTTTCGAAAATCCGAAAACTTTCAGCAAATTCCTTGTGCGTTTCACTGGAATGTGGTTTATGTGCGTACTATGTATGAATATTCAGTTCATGGGTGCTATGCAGGGTGCCCCGAGCTTCTCGGACAGACGAGTTTGCTCCGAGCTCGCTCGCGATGGTCATGACATGAAGACAGCGCGGAGCGCGAGATAGCAGCGTTGATAAAAATGGCTACAGGAACGCGCATCGCGTTGGAAGCGCATGTGGTACTTGTGCGGCAGTTATCCCAAAAACACCACGTGCGATCACGTCAGCGCCGCCAATCAGTGAACATTTTAACAGTGCAGCGACGTCAGCGTGGTTGTCACGCTATCTTTTTGTCAGATCAACACGCACCTGCCACAAGCGTGTTCGTAGACGTTTGTGTTCTTTCGAACAGCTTGTTTCGTACCACTTGCAGCATGGAAATTTCTTCTCTTGAAGGCAGCAAGTGTGCACACCCAGCACTCTCATGCCACTCGTTTTGCTTCTATCAAACATGGCAGATAAATATAAGGTCAGTTGGTCACTAGGGGCGCTCGCATCACTGCAGCAACGCGGCTGTGATTACATACGTCGTCAGCGCGGTGAAATTGATTGCGAGACATCGCGGCCGCGTGGTGATATCATTTCTACTACTGCGTGCGTCTCTGTGTAGTCTTCGCGATAAAGCTGATAGATTAATCGTGCCGTTCGACAAGAGCACTGCTCCTCCACGAGAGCTAACGTTGTTGGCGTATCCGAAATTCACCGCGGGCGTCTGTCAATCACACTGATTGACGCGTGAACTCGGATAGGAACTTCTTGATTCTGAAAAGGCCTAAGTTCAACTCGTGACTGTAATGGTGCCGGTGAGACTGGGAACTGTTCGATGCGGTGAACGATACGCGGCCGCTTCTTTGCATAAAAAATAGCTTGGTGAGTTTATACTACTTGTGAAAGGCTGGAGCAATAGAGGAGCTTGTGATAACCTGAATACTTGCAGCTTTTTTAAGTTGGTCGTCTCCTAATATGCGTGGTTGGCTTTGAAGTGAAGACCACATCAGCACTGTCCTAATTTTATTTTGATAATTGGCTGAGGCCTAATGACCATTTCACTGAGCTGTCCTGTCTTCATTATAAGGCTTGAATGGAGAAGCAATTATCTCGGGCCCATTTTGTCAGGTCAGGATCAGTATGGACTCAATAAAGGTAATTCTGATTAGCAGAATACTAATTGGCATATTATTAGTGAAGGCTAATTAGCATTGTTTTACTTAGTGTACTAACGTCGCGTTTTTGAGCATAGTTTAGTTAGCTAATCCACTAGCATGCCAGGTTCTAGCTTTACATGGCTTCATTAGCACTGTCTCCTTGAGATGTGACCTAAATACCTCGGCCTTACCGTGACTTGGTGTAGTTAGCTTGGTCAGGATCGCTGGATTCCGTGCCGACCAGTTGTGCCCTCGCGATCTCCGACGTCAGCGTAGCTCTGGCCTACTGGGCTGGCCCTTCGTCATCTCCTGACGCCGATCTCCGACGACAGCGTAGCTCTGACCTACTGGACTTGCACTACGCCATCTCCTGACGCCTACAAGAGCTCTCGCAAGTGGTGCCCCGTCCTCGGACTCCTGTGACCGTGTTTCCATCTTTCCTATTTCTCTTATCTCATCGCTCACTGTCATAGCACATCTCTCTCTCAGTCTGTATATACCTTTACTCCTATCCTTTTAATCCCTTCTTACCCCCATCCCTCGTGAGCTACTGTTGAGTTGTCGCACCCTGATGCAGACAATTGTGGGGCTCACTTTTCTTTTCCCTCTTATAGCCACATCTCTTAGCTTGGTCATAGCATGTCCTATCCTAACTAGCTAAGTATACCATCCAGCCAAAAAAATCACGGCATATCCACGGAGTAAATGATGATGATTTGGGCAAAGCTTCGGAGGGTTTTATTGGTAAATCGTGAACCGTCCATCCATCTGTCTGTCCATCCGTCCGTGCTCCCCTACTGAGTCAGTCATCGATCTAGGCAGTCACGTACCACGAGCTAGAAGAAACAGGCCCATGGCATTAGGGCCTTCACCCCTATAGCTATATAGCCGGCCGCACGTGCTCGGGTGCTAGCGGGCGATGATGACAAAGACGATGCGCACCGACCGAGTGACGCACTAGAATGTACAGGCCGAGCAACTCACTAGAATGTACATGATTAACACGTGGCTTCGGATGTAGTTGTGGTCGCGATGTTGAAAGACGCTCAGTCGTGCAATTATATACAAATTTCAAATCCAGACGGAGGCGGTGTGTTCTATTCAGTCGCACGCAATTGGCCCATTCGAGCCGTGACGAATTATGTCACGTCCTATGTGACGTAGGCCGAGGTGTCACGTGACTGTTTTTCTCTGGTTTTCGGAGGAAGGCGAAGGAACGGTCGGAGAGACCATCCGAAAGGAACCGGATGGATTGAAATGGCTGCAAGGGGGCCTGGATTGGATTGAAATGTAAAAGCTTCGCGATTTTTCAGCATCCGGGCACTTAGACAACATGGCGTTTCCCACTGCCACGGTTCTTCGTCTCGTCTGTGCGGCAGCTGTTGCCGAGTCGAGACGACGGCGTGAGGTAAAAGATGCATTTGAAGAGTTCAGCGAAGAAGAATTCCGGCAATGTTTTCGTCTGTCTAAACGAACAGTGCGTAGCTTCTGCGATGAACTTGACCCTATAATTGGATGCAAGAGAACCAGTGGCCTTTCCACGGAGACGAAGGTCTTTTGCGCGCTGTGATTTTTCGCCACCGGTAGCTTCCAGAGGAGCATTGGTTGCGAGGAACTCATCGGCATGTCTCAGCCGGCGGTGGGCACCACCTTTAGTGCAGATTATCCACCCAGTTCCACCACTAACAATGACATCCGCGCTCCGGCCAGCAATGCGGCAAGCAAGAACCGCCGTAGCAGGTGATGCGGTTCAAAACAACACTCCTGAATCATCTGCGCATGCGTGAGCTGCGCAGATGATTGCATCACGTGGTTGCAACGCTGGCCGCATCACGATGCCACGCACTTTGAGATTTCCCTAAGTGTGAAACAGCCTGTACGTTCGGCCGGTCCTTGAATGTAATGTGTATTTTACGCTTGGGCTCTGGCTTATAAGCCTCGCGCTCTTGTTCTCGGCAAGCCTTGCGATTGTGTTTAGGTGATCCTGAGTTTGTAGAAAATGAAGCGTCGTATCTTGAAGCTAGACTCCCATCACTTGAGTCACGTTTCATATTGTTGGCAGTACAATCATATTTAAAGCTTTATGAATTCCCAGTGAAGCGTTTTAAAACAGTTTCTTTTTTATCTCCCAGCTCAGAATAAGCCTACTTTCTTAGAAGACTGCTGGCTGAGATTTCACACGACTCAAGTTCTACATATACGGAGCTTTCCAGACGAATGAAGTGTCCGTATCAGTGACGTATTTTCAACCAGTGATAGCTACAGCTATATCAAAATAAAGTTTCGCGAAAGTTTTCGAAAACAAGCAAAACTAATGTTGCAATAGCTTTTAAACTTTATTCGGAGTGATTATCTAGTTTATTCACCAAAAAAAGAAAGTCATTGCGAGAGATGTTTTGCAAAATAAAGAAAAATTTGGAATTGGGATCTTTGCTATTTCTTTGAGTAGCTGATTTTCTCTACGGCTTCCACAATTTGTTTCCATTTTTGTAGCAGCATATTTTGGCGAAAAATTCAACTCTTCGCCAATAAACAGCATCGACTAGTTCGGCCATACTGTCAACTGATTCGCTGCCGGTGAGTTTTTATCATGCTGCAAATGAGAACTCACAAGTTCTGAGTACTTTCAAATCACTAGTTCAACCACATATACATTTGCTTATATTTGTTTGGGTTCTTAGACATAAGGGACTCTTTCACAATGTGAAGGCAGATGCGTTAGCCAAGTCAATATTTATAGGCCTGACTATTCGCGTATCACCAGCATTTAAATTCGTTATGGGGGCTTGATTTAGGAACTAAATGGTATTAAAAGAGTTTTTTTACCGTCCACAATGAACACAATTGATTTTCAGCACTTAAATTATCGTTGGAACAGTATAATATGCCGCACGCGTGCAGGTAAATTCGCAATCACTCCTCATCTCAATTTTTATTTACGCAGAGCTGGTTTGGCTACTTCCCCTAGTTTTTTTTTTAATTTTGTGGAGTTGTTGAGACTATAGTTCATTATCATATATTTTGTAAAAGATATGCTGCATTGCGCAAACCTATATTAGGTGCCGCCTTCTGTCTCATAAGACTGGAGCTAAACACTCTAAATGCACTTTGTTTTGGTGCTTTGTCCGTAAAAATCAGTGACGCGAAAGTTGCTGATGCATCGCAAGTGTTTAATAAAAGTTCAGATAGAATCAGAGCGTAGAAAAAATTTTTACACATAAATTGCTTGTTCTCAAAACGCTTTATTTAATCAATAAAGAATTGTTGTTGCTGAAATTACTGTTTTCCTAACCTATATATATAAGCATCTTTGTCAATTTGCAATATTTATTTTTCCCCTTTATCACTTCCATTTTTTTGAAAGCTGTAAGCTATCAAAATAAAGGTATTTTGTTAGAACTAAATGGTTCTTGAAAAATCCCCCAGCGTGGGTGTGTGCCACGATTATCAAGCCCTTCTATTCGGCAAGCGCCATCGGCTGAGGCAAGAAATGAAAAGAAGAAGTGCGTCAGCGGTGAGCGTGCAGGGCTGGCCTCCGTTCCTTCTGGTAGCCTGTTGCCATAATGTTAGGCTGGGGCAAGAGGTCAACCCCCTCGGCTCCGGACGTGAGTGTCACTGGGACGTCCACGCCTTCAAAAAAGGATGGCAGGTGAGTGTACACATTTATTCTTCGGCCATAATAAGAAGGGGTTGATACTTCCCCTTGCTTTTCTCTGCGATCACTTTACAACTAGCGCGAACGCTTTGAGTAAAGCTTTAAGCATTCAAAGCGGCACCTTGAGGCAGGGGGACCCTCTTTAACGTCGGGTAAATCCCATATCTGGACGCCACCACCAGTGAACCGATCGCATGATACAGGCCACAGCCGACGTGTCACACACATAGGCCTGCAAAGAAATTTCAGCATACTTTATTCACTAAAGGCATTCGTTTTGCTCTGGGAACTCAATTGATCTCACTCATCAACATAATATTCAGTTCGACAGACTTAGGCTCAGACTCACGGATTAACCTGAATCTCAGTGAGCATGAGGAAATCGACGCATGAGTTCGTTAGCGTAAAGCTATCTTTTTCACCCTTGGTGCCAATGCTCCTTACCGCCAGTATATTAACTCGCGTATATTCAGTGGGCCACAATATGGCTCCATTTCTTACACCTTCAAGTACGTGTTTTCAGTCGCTTCAATCCAGTAAGGACCTTTTAATGAAATACGTGACTCGCATGACATATCTTTATGAAGACCTTGCCCTGACAGAGTTCGCAGCAGTATACGTCATGCCCCAATCCCTTTAACCCGTGCCACAGATCAACAAAAATGAGGCAGTGCTCTGTTGAGATATCTGTGAAATGTATTGAGTACAAACTGTAGGGGTCAACTTGTCAGCAAGTGAATTGAACATATCGTTGGCGAAACAGCACAAAAGACCGGAACAGTAAAGGCAGTGCGATGTGTGATTCTACCTGTTTCTTTACTGTCTTGGACTATCATGTTCTTTCTCTTAATATACAAAACACAAACCAATAAAACGCCTATAATAACTCATGTGTAGATAGAAATCACTTTATACGATGATAACGTGCGGACCTGGATTCGGCATGGTGATAAGCCCGTCCGAGACCTAGAATGATTTCCCATTGCAATATGACTCTCACATTCAGAATTCGTTGATGTCAGCGTGAACCTCGACGCTGATTTCTTTACAGTGAGTAGCAGCACACACATCTGGAACTGGATTGATACTCAAAGTTAATGTGAGGCACTACCTATGAACCTGCGAATAGCTTTTTCTGTAAGCGTATGTTTGAACGTTTACGCTGTTATACGTGTCCAAGCCTAATTTTATACAGTAAGCTTCAGTGGAAAAGCTCAAGCAGTTTCACGTGGCTTTTTTCAAAGCCGTGCTGCGCATGATCGAGGAGCACTGACGTCACACTGCGCATAGCTGGCACGCCGGAAAATGATTCGAAGCTCGTGGAGTGTTGTGCCTCTAGTAGGCGGGTGCTTGGCTCAGTCGCTAGTCCGTCCGTCGATCTGTCTACGTTCACGTCCATTCATAGCTCAAGCTACGTGTATTCTTGCATAACCGTGCCAAGACACTGCTATATCTATTTTTACCTGACTTTAATGTGTCGGAATACCAGTAACTTGGGCATGTTCATGAAGGAAAAGCGATAAAGCTAACGAATACTAAAAAATAAGAAGGCACAAAGGGCTACTGTCAACAAAAAGTGTTATTTACAGTTCCACTTCGTCGATGATTTCCCTTTGCCAAGTTTTATACGCTTGCTGCTGTACTTTAATTTTTTGGAGGTATTAATATAGGCTACGTATAGGTCATCCAAAATATTTTTGTTTTCGGCAAAAACCTCGAAGTAAAGGGACTACTACGCCTATTCTAAGTATGAAACGCGGGCTGTAAAAGAACATTTCATTGAGAAACAGGCCCTACAAAACACCATCTGTAAGTTTTGCCAACCACCTGGGACCGCCAGTTTGCAATGACATCTGTGAATTCATGCTTAGCAAGGGGAGGTGTTGTGGTCGTCTTTTATAGTTTCAGCTGTTGCAAACACTTTAGTTTTAGGGCCAAGCACAAAAAAGGCAAATATATATTCGATTTAACGAACCACTGACCACACAACAATATCGTTCCCCCGAATGCACACTGCACAAATTGATCCTTCTGACTTCATACACGGCTTGCGAGTGCGCCATGATGTTGCCCGACTTTGAAGCCCCTCGTCTGTCAAGAAAAATATTCAGTTATAAATTACGCGCTTTACCGAATGCACTAAACATTCGCCAGAATATTTATGAATGCACAAGGATTCCATCACAGAAAGCAGATTATGAAAGTGATGGGGTATCATGGCTCTTTAATTGCTCTTTATATATATATATATATATATATATATATATATATATATATATATATATATATATATATATATTGGGTCAGCCTCCGCTGATGTAGATATTAGTCTTAGTTTATATATTCGTTTGTTGAGGGGGGGGCGGCTTTTCTTTTTGCACTTAAAAACTGGCTGGGGGTAAAAGTTGCACCATTAAGTTATTAGAAATGGGTTCGGCGACGAGGCTTCACCCCCCCTTGACACCCTACGTACCCCTATGGCGAAAGCCGCACTACTTGAGAAAGACTTAGAAGCTGACACCTCCATAACAGCTTCTGAATTTAAGGCATGGAGCCGTGTGGTTTATATTCAGGTAGCAAAGCTCTTGGAAGATCCATTGCCTCAACTTTCTGCTGCTCTTTCCTTGGAATGAACTAACAATACTATGGACGCACAGTCAAATAAAAAGAACTTTTTATGACAACGCTGCCAATGTCAGTTTCTAATGGCTGGCACTTTAAGCGCGATTAGCAACATTCATTTAGACCTAGCGAACTATATAAAATTGGAGCTAACAGCCAGTAAACAAGAAAAATTTTGAGGACGCTTGCGGTGTTAGTAGTGTGAAATCACAAGCCGATGACTCAAACGGCACTAAAATATATGCTCTCCATGCTGTGTTCATCGCCCATCATATTTTTTTTTCTTTGAATGTTATGTGGTTATTGCAGAACATGCCACCAGTATATGTGTACCTGAATACTACTGTCTGTGACATAGGTGTGGCATAACCGTTCTGCATCACACCTCACTGCCGATGAGCACTGTACTCACCAAGCATATTCGCAGGAATGCCAGAGAGGAGGAGGAGGTGCAGGAGGTATCGCTGGTGGGAAAAGTGCAGAACTCAGATTCGGCTGTCGTGGTCGTCCTTGGAGGCACCGACCTCCAGGAACCAGGGAAGACCTCCGCTGGTACAGGGCTATTTTTGATTTCAGGAAATGCCGTCCTTGTCCTTGTACCTATTTCCTTGCTTCACTCGCCTTCCCTAACGAAAAAAAATATGGAGCACAGAAATTTACAACTTCGACTAGTTAGAAGCATGCATGAGTGGTTTTAACTACCCGGTGAAACTTTATGCTCGTTTTTGATATAGAACTCTCCTGTCTGAGTGTTAGGAGTAAAGCGCAATATTCAAAGCCAAGTTTCACTACCGGCTGCTGCTTCAGGCATAACTAATTCTGCTGATGTCTCCTACATTAGGCTTCTTTTTTTTTTCAAAATATAGCAACACTTCACATTTTCATTGCTTCTTCGCTTTGGTCGGCTTTTTAGGCCCCACGCACTGCATTCCGTTTTCAGGTGGCACAAATCATATTTTTTTTAAATTTCATTCTTTGTTTATTCAGACAAAAAATGATTGCCTAGGTTGAAGGGACTAAATAAATATTACCTCTGTCTGACCAAAGTTCCTCCACCCATACATTTGCTCAGGTGAAGTGGAACAAAAGATGCAAATTTCATTCAGCTTTTGAATGAGGAGACACGAAATTCAAATTCAAAAAGTACAACAGATGTCGACACATACGTTTTAAGACGACTGACAATCTGTTTATTCTAGGTGTGTCAATGGTTTTAAAAATTTTCTTGCTACGATGCAGGCAAGTCGAACTACGTGTTCAAGCCACAGCTGAACCAATGGCTTGCCATTCAACCGCTGCCCGAGCCACGAAGTTATCACGCCGTTGTTTACTACGCAGGCTGCATCTACGTTTTTGGTAACTCAGCCTAGTAATTTGTTGATGGGTAATAAAATGTATAGAAAGGTATATGCAGGTTATATACTGCAGCATTTCATTTTCTATCCTTATTCACTTTAGCCTGCGTGGGTATTTTTATGGGACCCAATGTTTTTATGCGTGCCTTCGCTAGACTGCCCATACCGAGGAGTGCAGGTGGCGAGTTTCTCGTCTAGACCATTATGCGGAACAAAAACAGTTAGACAGTATCTGTAGTGAAAACACCACACAGAATAAGCGCACACTTGCATAAAAAAAAAGAAAATTACTCATGCATTTTTCCCAGAGCTTTGTGCTTTTGTGCGCCTACTTGGTCTGTGCTGTGTAAGCGAATTGCAGTTCAGTGTTCCGCTAAACTATACTTGAGCTAATTGTCATTCAGTCACTACATTCAGCATAACCCCACGCCTAGTTACCATACCCATTCAATAAACTGTACCTTAGCAAAGCGGTCCTATCCCATTACAACGATTCCCAGTCTGACACATGACTACTTTCATCTACAGGTGGTTACAGCGGCGCAGTCGCCAGCAAAGGAGGACAAGGCCGAGCTCAGCGCTCCGTGTTCAAATTCCACGTTCGCGAGCAGCGATGGGACCGCGCGGCGGATATGCTGCATGCCAGGGCTTGTCACGGAGCCGTCGTTGTGCACGAGAAGATCATGGTCGTCGGCGGCAAGGACGACAAGGAAGAGTAAGTGGACGGCTGCTGTAGACGCATTGCTACCAAGAGAGGCCTCCATGCGACATTGAGGCTTTTTCCTTAACAGCATACTAAGGAGTCTCACATTTGCTTTTATAAAACTAAAAACAGAGAGGAGAGTTTATGGATAGGTGTGTAATAAATACGTGTCATAGAATGCAGTACGTACGAGTGTACTAAACTACATCTAACCAACTAACTGTCACTTGCGGAGTATCTCATTGGTCAATACTAGGACCGCTATTGTTTTTAATGTATATCACTGATATAACCGAGATACTAGGTTCTCATGAGATGATCATGTATGCGGATGATGCAAATATATTTTTCACAGCAAAATCCCTTGTACAAGCAGAGGCCATGATAAACGGGTACTTAGGTAACCTGCAATCATGGCTAAAATTGAACATGTTATCTTTAAATTTATCGAATACCAGCTATATTATTTTAGACTGATTAATACTGCAGATTTCTTCAAGTTCAACATAGAGTTTGGACACGTAAAAATACATGAGGTTGAGTTTATAAAATTTCTCGTTGTCTGGATCCACCTGAACCTTTCCTGGAACACGCATGTCTCAAAATTAGCGTCTGAAATAAGCAAAAGTGTTGGCATTCTCTACAAGGTGACTAGTCTTGTACCTGTATGGTTGAGACTACAGATGTATTATGTGCTTGTATATTCTTAACTGACCTAATATATTCTGGTCTGGGGAACTAATACGACTACTAACTATCAGAAACTACAAGTACTTCAAAAGAGAGCTTTGCGGTGCATTCTTGGTTAGTGCGGCAGTCCCCATGATCTTCCAACTTCGCCAATGTTTTGTCATTATGCTTTGAATAAAACGAATAAAGTCAATTTTTTTCGTCTATTGCAGCATATTAAAGTCAATAATTTACATACTCAAAGCAATACTTTGAATAGTGATGCATACCATCTTTGAAAACAAAGCCTGCGGGTCCCTAAGACGCGTACTTACTATGGCAAACAAAAATAATTTACCAAGTGACTGTGCCTATGAATGTAATGCCTACAAATGTTAACTTTGCTGTTTCAATGAAAATATTTAAAAAGGAATCAAAGAAATATTTACTCCACTCTGGTGTGTGTTAGCTATAACATTTTCACTGCTATATGCTTAAGAACAGTTTATTTTGTTGTACTTGCGAGCGTATCTGATTTATCTATTTATTATGTCATGAAGTTATATTGTTTTGTTAACTCTCGCCAGACTGTGCAATGGAGCAGAAGCCTTTGTCAGGCACCCAAGCCTTTAGCACCGGCTTCCTCCTTTGTATGAAAGGAAAATAAACTTCACTCTCACTTTCACATATAGTCATACGTATGTGAAAGGCGCCATTGCATGGTGCGTTTGTTTGAAGGATTCAGTGGGGAAATTGCGTCAGACGGTTTCAGGGTGTCGGGTCGCCATGTCAAATCGTGCAGCGTCAGGTGGCATGACATCACATTAAGTGGCCTTCACCAATCAAAACGTTCGGTGAGCTTTTACATTTATCGTTGCTCATCTGCTCTCTGAAAATTAGTGAAATATTCAAGGCGTGGAAAGCTGAGTGCTTATTACCCACATTGTTCTTGCTTTCGCAAATAATCAGATGTAATGAAACGCACTTTCACTTTATAAGAGAGGAGAGGATAAAGGTAGTTTATACATCACGCTACATTGGGATTGTGGCATTCCCGTTTTTTGTTCCAGCTTGAGAGAACAAATTACAATTATTCATTGCTGTACCGCCAGTGATGACCACCTATTGTTAGGCACATAAATCTGTATCAAAGTGCACTGCACTTGTTGCACTTCTCTAGATGACTGATAAAAGCGCTGTTCCGAGTGCCTCTCAAAACCGTAGGTCTTACGTCTACCGAGTGCTTTTCAGCACCCTGATGGGCACTCACAAAGCGTAACATTCTTCTGTTACAAGAAAAGCTGTTTTTATAATATCACAAGGTCCGATTTCGACACCGTAGTTGTCTGCCATGGCCGCCGGTGTCCCTAGCGCTCTCCTGTGAAGTTAGTATGAAAACTAAACTCCGAAAAAAATCGCAAGCGTGCGCGGAACGCACAACAGTCGCAGCGAAAGATGAAAGAGGGTTCTTTCAGAACCTTTTATAAACACTATATGGGTAACTGGTGTAATCACACCTGCAGGGTACCCACTACACCATAAATATCATTTTTGTGTAGTGGGCTGGCATTCACTGTGTTATTCTCTGTCATTCTTCGGAGGAGCTTGGTATTGACTGCACACTTGAAGTAAATTTTGTGCAAGTTTTTTACGTAGTGGCTCACGACAATGAGGATTTAAGCCTGCAGGGAGTATGCGCCACAATTATTAGGTCATCCGGATTGCGTAATCCAGTAATTAAGCAATTCCCATTGCGTGACACCTGGTTGCTCATTTGCTCTTATAAAACGCTTTATTACTTATATTTATGAATTTCCTTTTCGACGTTAAAGCAGCCCAAGGCATTTTTTCGATGTAGGCTCAAGTTTCAGCGTGGCTATGGCGTAGAATACTGGGCTGGCCCGCAGGGGACCCAGGTTCGAATGCCGCAGCGTCCTTGGCGTTTGTATTTACTAAGTGTTTTTTTATCCTATTTCGTGCGATAGTGGTTGTGGACACAGGTGGTGGCGGTGGACAACTACGGCACTGCACTCGACCCCTGTTGTGATGTCATAACAGATGTCGCTGTGAAAAACGCCAGCCCTATGCAGAACGCCCAGCACAACACAGCCAAAGCTAAAAGAGAGTCATTTTTAGATACTTTTCAAGCACTCTTTCGGTAACTACCACAAGCACAAATGAAGGGTACTTTATCATCATCATCATCATCATCATCATGATCATCATCATCGCCTGACTGCGTCAACTGTAGGGCAAAGGCCTCTCCCATAATACTTCAATTAACCCGGTCTTGGGCTTTCTGTTTCCACTTGATACGTGCAAACATTTCAATCTCCTCAACTCACCTAACTTTGTTCCCCTTTAGTGTGTCACTGCGCCATAAATCAACATAATTTTTCTGTGGTAGGGAGATTGTCATTAGGCCATCCTTTTCAATCTTCGCATAGGCGCAGTACCCGCTACTTACTTGCAAGGAATTTCATTCAATTTTTAAATGCTAAACCTGCTGACAATAAATAATTACGTGTGAAGCTTTTCTAACATATATTCGCGTTCGTATACCCACTAGCACACCTGATTGTTTCTTTGCTGTTCTAAAAGGCGTAAATATTTATGTTGGCACGATTCATTTCGCCACATAAAACCTGCCTCCAGGTCACTTTGCGAAAAAGCTCCAAGCGCTGGCAAGGCACAGTGGTAAGATGCTCAGCTGGCACACATGGTTCTGAATCTTATTATATCCGCAATGTTTTACAGCGAAAGCTTTCTTCAGATCAGAAGGATCATGTGTGTCATAGTTGCCCATTGCCGCTGCCGATGTCCGTAAACACTATCGCACGAATTAAAAAAAGCCATAATGCCATAATCTAAAAACATGATGTTAATCGAACCCCGGTCCTTTGCAGGAGGACGCAGCATTCTACCGCAGCGTCAGGCCGGTGCTTGAAACTGCTTTGCAAATATGGACAGGCTTGATGCCGCGAAAGGAGTCACGTTAATATAAGTAATAAAGCTTTTTAGAACAGCAATGAAACAACCAGGTGTCTTACAATGCGAATTGCGTAACGAGTGGGTCGTCGTATGCTCCAACGCATTAAACATCTTCCTTCATTATTGTTCAGCGTCTCCAGCCGGAGCATAAAAAACTTGCACAAATTTCTTTGCGAATGTGCAACGGGTACCACGCTTCTCCGAAAAATAACGAAGAATGACATAGTCATTGCTTCTGTCTACATAAAAGTTATTAATTTTTCTGCAAAGGGTACCCTTCAAGTTTGCGTGTAGCAGGTACCCAAAAAGTGTTGAAAAAAAACTCTGAAAGGCTTTTCTATCTTTGGCTGTAACTGCGCTGCGCGTTTCGCGCAGACTCGGCGTTCTTTTTTAACACAAAAGTATTTTATTCTTGATCCACTACGGCTACACTGACGCATTTAGGTCACGGAAATGACGTTGTAAAATATATACTAACAGACTGCCAAGAAGAAACACGAGAAAAAAAGAGTTCTCTAGCGTTGATTTGATTGATTGATATGTGGGGTTTAACGTCCCAAAACCACCATATGATTATGAGAGACGCCGTAGTGGAGGGCTCCAGTTCTCTAGCGTGGTGACTCACTTGTGCGCACACTTACATCGGGACTCGGGTGCTTTTACCTCTTGTGCTTCAATCGGACGTTTGCTTTGGTTACAGTAGTTAAATAACTCGAACATCACTTCACTCGCTGCTGCGGTCACGCCTTCGTTAAGAAGGAGCGCACGGATCGCACACGATGAAGTAAGAGTTGTGACAGTTGTTTCCACTTGCCGAACTTGTGCATTATTTTGTTCGTTTGTTTTTTTTTTTGGTGATGTGCTTTACTTGTCGGGATGTCGCAGTTGTTTCTCTGCGCTCTGTCTGTGTATACTCATTTCGTGCGCGCTTTCTGCTTGAAGTGTGCGCTGCAAGTTTCTACCTGCATGCTGGCCGTTCTTTACGTGATATTCCAATTTGTTGCGGTAGCAGTCATTCTTTCTCCTTTGTGGCGAAACAAGGTACAATGAACTCTCAACTACTCCTGCTAGGACACGGTTCTCCTTCGTGTTATACTGATTTCATAACATAGAGACCTATCAGAATCTGTTTTTTTTATTTTCTTTGTTTTTCTCTGATTTCGCTCGATGGTGGTTGCGAACAAATAAAGAAAATTTTTCTTTTTGACATAAGCGTAAGCAAAGGGAGGACGTCACATTTTGCCTCATGTATTCATTTGCGCCGCCTTACCGTACACTCATGGTAAGAACACAATGATCGCTATCTTCCAGGATCCTCAACTCGGTGGAGTTGTACAACCCTGCGTCGGACAGCTGGGTTCCGTACCGCCATCTTCCGCTGCCGCTCATGGCCTGCGGCGTTGGCTTCTTGGGCGGAATGGTGTATGTGGTAGGAGGGGGTGACCACCAAGAAGCAGGTGTTTACCGGCATGACGCCCGCCGAAGTGTTGTCCACTGTGCACGCCACGGATCCCAACGAGCGCACGTGAGTGTACAAAGATCCCTTTATCGCTTGTCGAAAAATCTGTAGATACCTCACATCACCAAACTCCGATAACATAAAAGCAATATTTCAGCAGTTCAGAAGAAAATGTGAGGCATGACAGCTTAACGCTAAATAAATATGGACCTCGGGCAGCTGGTGCATAAGATTGGGTGATAGAAACAAAAGCGTAGCAGTGCTCTGCTTTTGCATTCACATTGTCCACCTCAACGTCTGCAGTGCTACCGACCCATCGTAAACTTCTTCTTTTATATTTCAGAAAAATATTTACAAAGAACGCAGATATGGTCAAGATATTGAAACAATATTTGGGCTTCATAGGAAAGAAAATTGTGCAGCTTTAATAAGCGGATACAACGCAACATACATCAACCGGTTAGCCAACAGGCCAGTTACCCAGTTTGTGTTTTTTTCCATGCGTCTATGTTTGCTACAACCACGCATATCTACGACACGAGCACATGCATAACAGAGGGAAGGGTCTTAGTGCTGTAGTTAACATAAAGTTGGCATTTGTTGACGACGATCGGGAACTTACTTAGAGCGCAACACCAGAAAAAATACAGGACAGGGAAGGAGCAAGAGAGGAGAAAAAGGAGCAAAGGAGCAAACCAACTGGCCCAAAGTACCGTCTTACTACAATATATTGTTGACTACGAGCATGATTTTATGACAATTTTTGAATAACCTCCACCACTACGTACAGCTGGGTACGACGACCGAGTCTCCCTGAGCCCCGCGCCTACTGCACCGCTCTGACCATCCACCACGAACTGTGGCTTGCGGGTGGCCTCAAACCCGCGGGCCGCGACCCCGCCAGCTTCACCAACCTAGTCGACGTGCTCGCGTTCGACTCACTGCGTGGTCGATGGGAATTCCGTTTCAAGCTCTCTCGTGCGCGTCACGCCGTCGCTGCCGCCAATGCTGACGACCGCGTCTACGTCATCGGAGGAATGACTTGCCTGGAGGGCACGTCTGTGGATGACGTAGACGTGTACCACCGACAGCGGCTCTGTTTCCTCGATTGCCAGTGCCTGCCCAGGAAGCTCACAGGTGGACATTTTGCCCTCATACACACATAATGCGAAAACATAATAACAATATCAAAACATCAACACAGAGATTATACAATAAAATGAGAAGCACGGCAATTTTTATAAGCAGATAAAAACAATTCAAACTTGTTCCCCATACCGCAGGTTCACAGTGTCATGGTCAAAACACTTTGACAAAACGTGCCCAAGTAGTATTGCGACTGGACGATACAATGTTTAAGCCTGTTACTGTAAACTTGATTCTTATTGTTATGTCATAACTAATTATATAATTGTTTAGGTTCAACTTGTCAGAACTACAATGATCATAAGGGACGTTGTGTGGACAACTCAGAAAAACTTCGACCACCTATTGTTCTTTGGGACAGTTAAATGTCGGGTACACGGATCTCAAATATTTCATACTTAAAATGTGATCACAGCACTGGAATTTCATCTCGCGATGTTCGCATCTGCAGTCAGCCACCATTAACACTTGAGCACCGTGGCAGATTACTCAGGATTTAGCCAGCCAGCTTGTAGCCCGACTCGAAAATTCAGTTCTATCAATACGATAGTCTTTGTGCCGGGGCCCACGAAGACTTGGATGGTGTATTTCAGTCACAGGAGTGACGCCGGTAAAACACGCTAAACCGTCATCGGGAGTGTACCCCGTGACGTCTTGGTCAGGGGCAACTGACTCCGGGCGCGAAACTACTGCGCCACATCCAATAACCTCGTGCTATATTAAAATGAGCCTTTTGTAGCTGCTACAGTCCTCAGCACTTTTCGTAATGTTCAGTAATGCATTCGTCATTACCGCTTCATCAGCGACTAGTTAATTCGGCGCGTCTTTTCCTTGCATCCACTTCATTCGGCGCTATTCTTTCAAAGGTATGTGCCATTTTGTCAACGCCAAACACACCCCCAAAAGGAAATTTCACGGCAAGTGTCGGTGTCGCTCATAGCCTTCATTCATACCTAAAAAAAAAATGGCAGCATATCCACGAAGTGAATGATGGAGAGTGGGGCGAAGCATCCATCCGTCCATTCGTTCTTGCTTCCGTCTATCCATGCGTGCGTCTGTGTGGCCACCCGTGCGTCCATCCGCCTGTCCGTGCGTCCGCACGTCTATCTGTGCGTCCGTCCCTGCGTTCGCTCATGCATCCGCTCCTGCGTCCGTCCATGCGTCTATCAGTTCGTGCAGCCATCCGTGCGTCCGTCCATGCATCTGTCTGTGTGTCCGTTCGTCCACCTGTTCAACACTCCAAGTACCACCATCTCGCATCTTTTCATCATATATTCCTCATGTAGAAGCACCGCCATCCAGTGGACATTCCAAAGACTGAACGAGAGGAGGCTCACTCCCACTTTCTTACGGCTTGCGCTTCGTGTCTACTTCCCACCTATAACCACCTCGAGTTCATGGTATATACTAGTTCACTGTATTCATGGCACTGCGGCCCAACGCTCGCTAAACCTTTCTAAATTTTAGGAGGTTACGCCCAGCGAGTATAACGCAGCAAACCTTTCTTCTCAGATAGTGCTCCATGTACATGCCAGTGGCTGCTAAGGGAGGATGAGAGACAGGAGAATTCGCCTTTTACTTAACGCGCACGCTGCGAATTTTTTATTGTTCAACAACGCACAGAAGAAATCTCCCACCGGCACCACCTTGGAAGTCAAAATGGTAGACTGGTTACACAGTACTACTACGACTACGAGGGACAAACGGGTGCCGCTATAAGGAGCTTCGCCCCTAAAATAGCTGTGCAAAGCGTATAACAGCGCACCTGCTTCGTCTGGGTGCAAAACTCCGCGTTCGGCGCTTACGCTCGCCCCACGCAAATTGAGGCCGGCCAGGAGACAAGGCAAAACGTTCATTACATTTCTGTCTGGCCGGGCTGTGGCGTTGAATAACTCCAACATTGCGCGAGTAGGCGACCATAGCCAAAGTTCAGTGTCTAACCAATCACGTTTTGTAGCACTAAGCGTTAACGTGGACGCATCAACGTTAAGCGGTGGTACAGCTGCCAAACACCAACAGGCATTCTGCAAGCTTTATTATATAAATACGCAGTAAACACTAAAATACTTGCGTAAGACACATTTTAGCTTCCTGTTTTACCGATGCCTAAGACGAAGGAATCATTAATCTTATTTTTTTGTGTGAATTTGCACGTGCCTACAATACAAATATGAATAATTGGGGCGTTTTTCTCTTGAAAATATCTATTAGCCACACTGATTCAAGGCCCGTAATGCACAGTGGAACATTCATGTCATTAAGTGTATCGTGGGCAGCCAGAGGGGCATACAATCAACTTACAGACGCAAGAACTTTAAGGCGCCCGTCATTGCCGAATACTCAGACCCAAGTAGGGAAAATATTTTATCGAATGACCAACTTTGCATAGAAACCGTCATATCTCTGTGTAAATTAATCTATAAAGAACCCGTAAAATTTAATGGATGGTAGCTATGCAAACTGCAAGTTCTTAATATCACACCTTTGGATATGTGTGCACCAAAGACATGAAGATAAGCTTAACTTGCTTCAATAGGAATAATGCATTCGTAGCTGCCACGTGTGCCTTCTGCGGTCGCTGTTCGCTAGTGATGCTATAAGAAATGTTGGATGAATGATTTGTTGTTGTCGTAAAAATTGTGAAACAACTTTCCTTGGGATCCTTTATTTTATGTTAGGTGGCATAAGTGAAAAAAATCTAAAACAAAGTAACTCATACGTATACATGCATGAGTCACAAAAATTTGAGGGCTCGTATGAAAAACGTTCACTCCCGCCCTACTGTGAAAGAATATGGGTTCATCGCTTTTAGAACGAATAATATTGAACTTCGTGTCGTATTGAAAAGATGAACATACACCGTTCTACATACTGTGACTAATAATTTGCTAAAGTGTTTTCAAGAACGATGAGCAATATGTGCAGCTCAAAATGCCATGTTGTATTTCTGTACAGGACTGGCTGCCGTAGCGGTGCCGCCAGATTCATCTGATGGATCTGGGCCGAAGGTAATATGCTGGTTGGTTATTTAGTCGGGTTTTTTTTGTGTTTATTGTTGTATGCCTGGAGGCGTGATTTGAAGACGTTCGAGAACATATACAATCTTGCCTCATTATCAACCATCATTACCTATTCAAGTGTTTTTATGAATAATGGTGTACAACACTACGTATTGTTGCGTGATGGTGACGTATTGCCTTCTGGCCTAGAATATTTCACCTTAAGCAAACGTTACTACAAATACTCCGAAGTGCCATGTTAGGGAGAACCCCTTTATATTATCAAGTATTGAGAGAAATTATTCAAATATCTTTTAAAGAGCATTTTGCGCACATAGCTCGCAGATAACACAAAATTTAGAAACCCACTTTCTTGTCTACATCAACGTTTACTTTCACTATATATCTCGCGAGAAGTTCAAGAAATTCAAGAATAGGAACTGGAAAATAATTGAGACAAAAGTGATACTGCGCTAAATTTAATCGCTAAGAGAATAACATATGCAACTTAGCAAATGTGCTGCCAAAAAAAAGTTCATAAAATACAATGAAAATTCAGACATGACCATTGCTCTTCTTTATTATTTTTATTATTTCTGGTTGTTGTTTCTTTCAGATTCCTGAAAAGACAGCCTAAACATTTCCTCTATTTTCACACACGTGTAGATACGGAGATTCAATAATTGATTTTCATCATTGAATCTACTTGATTCCTGATGTACGAGGCTTAATAAAGTGTGACTCATTTTCACAAGAGGCCGCGTCATCAGTCCTCGCATTTCTTTGTCTCAGAGTGCTGCGAGCTCAAGAGCCCCGTCATCACTGAAACTGGAGCAGGGTGACCAGGAAAAGAAGAGGCGGCCACACCAGCCTCCTAAAAATTTGGTCAGTAGACTGATCGTTGCTGCGAACTTGCCCGATGACATATATAAACTTTTGTGCTATTATGTGTGATCTTTCTTTTAGAGAAATTTGCCGCTGAGCTATTCAACTGCCGTCATGATCCAGCTTCCATTTCTCTTGCATTCACTGAATAGAATTTTCAGCAGTTGCATTTTACAAATAAAACGTTCAAAATGAATACTCCGTGAGAACTTGCCCCTAAGGATTCAATGATTGATACGTGCCTACAAACAACTCAGTGAGGGCTCACTTAGTAAAACGCCAATCATTACACTACCCTAGGTTTAGATTTTATCTATCTATCTATCTATCTATCTATCTATCTATCCATCTATCTATCTATCTCTCTATCTATCTATCTATCTATCTATCTATCTATCTATCTATCTATCTATCTATCTATCTATGAGGCCGCCAAAGTCTGCGTGCTCTCCTGATCACCTGCTACACTTGAGGTAGACCGAAATTAGTATGCGAAGCTAAGATGGTTTGATAAGTGCGATTATAATGTTAAAACTCTTTCGTCTATGACGTCATACTCTTCTCTCGCGACACTTCTGACACATATCCGCGTACCATGGCAGTGGTATGCGGGTATGCGCTACTGGTTTGTGGTAGTCTGCATCTACCGAGAGCAGATTTTGGAAATTTAATGATGATGCGATTAGAAAAAAAGCAGCATCGGCAGCGTTGACCCGAGGAAAACACATATATCAAAAGGAGTCGAACAAAGCAATCAGCGTAGCAATCGACTATTCTACCATAGAGCCATGTCAGCTCTCGAAATCTTTTTTTAAAAAGGACCTGCGAATACGCAACGTTAGTGAAACGTCGATTTGGTCGCAGGGCTGGCAATGTAACTTTATAAATATTACATATCTACTTTTATCATACCGCCGTACCACTAGTTTAGCGTCGATTGTAATTAGGTGCCATTTAATGAAGCTCTTCCAAGTACCACCATCCAGAGCAGCCATCATCCTTGCAAGCACTAGCGCTGCATTTCTGCTTACCTGATGTTAGCAATACCACTCAACAAGATAGAAAGGTGAGCTAGTTAGCTAGTGAAGTGCTCGTGCTGTGTGCCTCCACTTTGCTTCGTTTGTTCGTTCCTCCCACACTTCTAGTTCATGGAACAATTAGGTTGGTAATACCAATGTGGCTCCAAACATGGTTACGTTACTGTAAACAGCTAGTTAAATGTACACGACTCTTCAATATACATGCCTGCGCGTGTAACACTTCAACACATGTTTAGCTTTATTCAGCAGCATTCCATTAGAAATAAGAACAATACCGCATTCATCTTTCCTCCGCACGTTTTGAATAACATAAATTTGTATGGTATGTGGGTTCGGCGGAATTTTTTTTTTGGAAGATGACCCGGAATATAGTGTCACCTTATTCACTCGGAAGAGTTACCTTAGTTTACATAGCTGAAAATACCTGTTAATTATAATGATAACACAATTTATTCTCGTAGTACGCAGACAAGGACCGCTCAACCGAGGAGATTGAAGTGCCTCCAGAAGTGCGCACCAAGATCACGCCTCGTCCCCGCGCCCGAACTGAAGCTGGAGACGTCGAGGATAGCACTGAGGGCGTACGTATGAAGTACTTGTACTCAAGGAAGGCGTTCACAATATTTATTAATATATTACTTGCGCATCTATCAATTAATGTAGAAATACCTGCTTGGTTCATAGCGGTAGAGAAAACTATGTTAGTGCAGTTCCCAATTGTATGAGTGGTAGCCTAATCAAAGGATGTGAAATGCTTCTCTAAAGGAACATTGCTATACAAGATCACTAGAGACTAAGAAAAGAGTACAGTGTGCTTCACACTGTAAAAGTTACAACACCATCTTTTTTTAGTTAACGCCGCCCTTGCGCCTTATCTTTTAAAAGGCATTTAAGACGTGCCCCTCTATAACCAATGCCGGACGTGTTAGCCTAGAGATTCATATAACTTTTTGAGCTCTAATTCTCTAACGAGCACATCAGCGAATGTTTCGTGTTATTGTACTATCCTTCTCTATTTGCGATTTTGTTCATAAAGATCCTTTGCAATAAGAACCTTACTTCCCGCCAATTCCTTGCTCTCCTCTTAAAAACAGAGGCTGAAGTTCGGAGCTCTTTTCTTTCACAATACAAAAAGATCTCAAACTATATGATGCACTTGAGCATAGTGATTTCGACTATCCATAAGAAGGGAACAGTAGACAATTATGCCGACAGGACACTCCAGAGTTTTGATGTGATTTTTGGCAGTACTTACACAGATTATTCGACCCATTTTTCTTTATAATTTGCATTTTGATCGTGGGTTAGTTGCATCTGCTTTTAAAGATCACTGCAACGTTTTTGTAACTTGGTTAGAATAGTTTTACTGAAGGAGTTACCGTGTTTTGTTAATTCGCCACCGCAAAACCATGCAGATTGTCCCGAACGAGCGGAGTTACAAGGATTTGTTTAGCGCTGTAATTGATTTTTCTTTACTGTACCGGTGAAAGCTCAGGAAGCTAAGCAGCAATGAACAGCACAAGGGACTCAAATAGTCTACGAGTGCCTCGTGACCGAGATATTCTTTCTTTCTTTCTTTTTTTCTTTTTTTTTCCTTTCTTTCTTTCTTTCGCTCGTTCTTTCTTCCTCTCTTTCTTTATTCCTTTCTCCTTTATTTATTTCTTTCTTCTCTCTTTTGGTGGCATGATTTTTCATTGTGGTAAAGTGCACAGTCATGGACAAGTCGCGGCCTCCCCGGCGACCACAAGAACAACCGAGTGCTCAATGCTTCAATCGTCTATTGGATAATACTTGGCCTGTGACGCAGCAATGTTAGAGGCAGCAGCCTCATTTGCCGACTGATGAAAAAGCGAATTTTCGGTGAAATGAAAAAGTTATCGGAAATCCCAGGTTACGTGTGATGTGATGATATTTGGCTCTCGTGTTCTGGAAAACCTTGAGATATTCAGTGTTTCCTTGCCATGTTCAAAAAGTGTTCCAGGGCCGCCTTAAAAATCCAAAGACGTTTTAGCTCTAATCTGCACATCAATTGCATTGTGTTTGAATATTCATATTTCATAAGTAGTCAATTTGGGATGGGTTAAGATGCATTGTGTAGATAAGAAACGTGCATAGTATATGCCTCAACCGAGACGGGAAAAAAGACTCCTCATAGCCCTCGGACAAGCTCTTCTGAAAGATGTCGAGCTGCAGCATGTGTACTCGCTTTTCTGTCTTTTTAGATTTCTAGTCAGTCAAGGCGTTCCTTCTGCGGTGTCTGAAGAGCCTCCAGCTGATGGCTAGGGCTTACGAAAAAGGCACGCCGTGTCCTGAGGTGCATGTGACTGATTTTCTAACCCAGCATTCTTCTTACTCTCATTCGCCATCCAGGGTCATTGGCCTCCGAGCCGTTTATCCCTCGACTCGAAGACCTTCCTGGGAGTGGAGACGTTGAAGCTTCGCACTCCGCTAAGTCGTCCCAGCCTCCCGCGCTTCTACCACTACGTCCCCACGGCGCCCGCGAACGATCCGCACAGCGGCATTACAGTTCGCGTGGACGACGACTTCAAGCGAACAAAGTGAGCCCGCGTTTATAGACCAGAGGGATGCACATTATAGAGTAATGGGGAAATATTGCAATACTGATCATTTCTTCGTATTAAAAAAAGTGGTGGTCTGATTCGCACCAGATAAAGGGTGTCAAGCTGGGTGGTATCTGACTCCTGAGAAATAATAATCCTGAGTTTATCAGTTTTTGTCTCTGAACTATATCGTACCTCACGCGGTGTTGCTCTGCCTTCAGATTAAGGCCCACGCTTGACCAACAACGATCTGATGTGAAGATGTCAAGGTATATAAAGCCATGAGGATGTCACAAATTTTGATCTGTGATGTTATATATAACGGCACTATTCTGCCATCAGTGGTCCCTTGATTTGTTTGAGATTTTCTGAGTGGTCGGTGAGAGCGCCAATGTTAAAATTTTGAGTTTTCTGAGGCATGTACGCCACTTTACCGCTACGAATGCTTGCACTGTGAAGGCTTTGCAACACTACAACGGTTTTCTCCGGCATCTTAAGACAACTTGTTATTGGTGGTTGCAGCACTTCATAGAGTAAAACAAACTTGCAGGGAGGTGCTAGGACTACGTGACGCCAGTGGACTTCCGCCTTTCGCACGGAAGTTGCGGAGGGTGAAAAAGGTGCAAGATGAGACACTGCCGATTATCCTGACCTTTGGTGGCCTTGATCCGAGAGATCCCCTCAACTACGCTAACGGCAAGTTACTTTCACAACCGCAAACTGGAATAATTCAATCTTGACCTAAGCTTGATTGGTAGGTAAACTCCAACTGGGCCAATTCAGCAATGGTTTGCTTGCACTTTTAATCATCGATCCTAGAATTCCAAGGTACCAAAGTTATAAGCCCTTGGGTAATCGCCCTTTTATCCGAAGCTATGGGAGCTGATGTTATGAGAACGCGCTTGAGGCTTACTTATAACCTAGAGTCTTTTTTTTTTTTCGCCGTATAATGGTGTGTCTGTCTGCATATCTCGGTACGCAGACTTGCAAACAAGGCTATTTCGTTATTCAAATGGCATATATATATATATATATATATATATATATATATATATATATATATATATATATATATATATATATATATATATATATATATATATATATATATATATATATATATTACGAGCATTTCTTGAAGATGTGCGCCTTTTTTAGAGTGCTAGCTGTATATAAAAGTAGTCATAACTCATGCCTAATGCACTTATACTTAGTCTGAGGGAACTACAGAAATGAGCTCTCTCATTTGCCATCATTTTATATAAAGATCTTAAAGGAGAGGCACCAAACAGAGCCGCCAACGTCTTCCTGGATACAGCTTAAGAAACGGATACATATAAATAAACAAACTGCTTTGATCACTTTTTACGTAATGTTCAGGTAGCAAAAAAGGTTATGCACTTTACATATAACCCGTTAACTCACCGACAAGTAACCATGCATAAACAAAAGTTAAGGATATAAGACCAGCGTGTTAACTCTCCTTAAGCACTGCTTAATTCTACGGCGTGAACTGACCTGCCACGTACTGACACTCTCTTTCGTGTTGCCCTACTGAACAGGACGCGTAGTCTTGCACTACCACGTGCTCAAGAACCGGTGGGACCTCTGCGGGATGATGCCCGAACCGCGGAGCTACCACGCAGCCGTGCTCATCGGAAAAACGGTCTACATCACAGGTAAGATGTCACCTCCCATGGCAGCTCTTGAAGTGTGGCAGTAATAGTTGTCATTCTATAGGCCAACATAAAAAATTGGTTCTATCTATGCAGTGCATGTAGCAAGAGAAATATTTGGACCATCGGTCATTTTTTCAAACCTATCTGTGTGTCAAAGTACAAGAGCCTTGGTGACTACAAGGACTACGTAGCGAAGCCGAAGCCGCTTCGCCAAAATTCACATAGCCGATGAGCCATGAAGACCCCAAACATATTAGATCTTCATAGTCACCAGTTCCTTGTCATTGGCCGAGAGGTTGAGCAGTGGCACCTCCGGCCCTTACTTGTTCTCCATAAGTGCGAGCGGGCAGCTTTCTTCAAAACCCATACCCGTAATTTGCCAGCAGCGGCGAACATGAAGCAACCTGCTACATAGAAGTTCACATAATGACTCATTTCAACTCTAAAGCATTTTAATTAAGTTTTCTATAGCCCCAGCATGGACGCATTTAAGCCCAGTATGGACGCATTCCGCACTCATAACATGTCCACAAAAGTTGAGTTCTTCGTAACCACAGTGGCATTTATGAGGCTTCAACGGTAGGTTTGACCGATTGGAAGACTCTTGTACGTGTTGTGCCCATTAAGATGTTCGCAGAAGCTGATTGGAAACACGACTAGGTCATCTAGGCAGACAAGGCTGCTTTGCCGTATAATTCGTCTAATACAGTGTCAATCATGCGTTGAAACATATTTGGCGCAAAGGAGAGACCAAGTGGGACCACTAGAAAATGGTAGAGGCCATCTGGCATGACAAATAAACTCCCTACTTCTTAGGGCGCGTTATAGTGCTGTTTTATTATCCTTCTCTCCAAGGCGAGGCTGAAATCCAGGCCTTCGTCCACAAACCTGCAGAAAAATAAAGACATGTGATTATGCTAAAACGTATTAAAGCTCGCGCAGGCTATGTCGTCATAACATTACTAAATATGGATGGCCTAGTGATGTAATTTGCTGTGTCTTCTTCAGGGGTATTAGGTAGGCCTGCTGTGAATTGTTTGAAGATACGCCGAAAGCTTGCACGTATTTTTCTCCAAGGCGGGTTCGATCCAGAGACACGAAAGTGTGGAGAGCTGGTGGCCTGCAAGACCACGTTCGCCTACGACATCGACACCATGGAGTGGAGTCGTAAGGCCGACATGAAAACTGGCCGAGCGGCGCACGGTGCGGCAACATTCAAGGACAAGCTTCTCGTGTTCGGCGGTAGAGGTCGCTTCGGAAGGTCAGTCTTAGGACGTAGGATGGGCTTACAGAGTTTCTCGTTATTAGATATTAGAATACCTCGTCCAGCTTTTCAAATCATATTGAGACCTCAACTATGCAGACTAATAGGGGAACGTCGTCTAGCGTTAGTTTAATCAGGCACTTGAAATAATCAACGCAACTCAGTGAAATTTATCCCCTTCAGTCATTAATTGAATGTGACAATGCTAAAAATGAGTGGACACATTTTTGGTCCAAATGAAGCCCAGTGATGAATGTAAGACAATAAAAAAATTTACACCGCTATGCCACTGTCTATACAAAAATACAAGATTGTGTTAAGAAGTAAAACACTTGTAGTAATTTCCTTTGAAGAGAATCTCCAATCTTGTTCTCTATGTCTCGAGCATCTAATAATTGTGAAAATAAAAAGAAGCAATCACTTGTTGCAGACAGACAAAGAAACAATTTGCACTTGCGGCATCATATGCGGGCTCTGGACGTGCACCCTTTCGTCTTGCATGCAGCACTATAGAAAACTGTGAGTTGCGTGGGCCGACGAGTGGTTAAGGCTTTCATACCGGATGACATTACGGAGTCGGAGTTCCATATTGTTCACCCTCCTCGGTGGCTCCCTGGTCTCAGTGGCAGATTGATGGCCCCATTTTTCTAATGTAGACTTCTCCGAGAAGACTAGAGAGCTCAATGCTGTTCTGAAAAGTCAGCAGGTTCGTCATGTTTCTACGTAAGAAAAAACAATTGGCTTTTAGATTCTGCACGTACTCTTGCCACCTGCTTATGATGGCAATTGAAAGGATATGCGAAATTACACGTTCAGGCCACTTGTTTGTTCTATGCCTAATTCGATACAAGGACAGCAAAAAGTCCGTTTTGTCGACTCCGCCCTTGGAGGCATTGTATCTTCGAATTAGCTCAGGACACTATATGTCCGCATGTTTTTTTTTTTTTTTTGACAACTCACTCAATTGTCTGACGTTCGAAAGCGGCCCCGTTCCCTCAAAAGTTGATGCTGCGCGGACAACACCGTTGTCCTGCCAGCGCACAACTGTGACGTCTCCATCTTTCTGGCACTTTTGCATCGAAACTTTCCCGCCCTTCTTGATTTAATTGCTTGTCAGTTTTAAGCATGTAGCCTTTAAGTCTATTTGCCCTAATTATGCATATGGACAAGATTTCATGTGTTTCCAATTCTAGAGTGAGCCCGATTTGAGCGAAGTATTTGCCAAAGTAACATGTAAAATTCATGGACATTGAGAGGTTTTTAATCAACCACATTACAATGGAGACCCTACCCCAAGGTGCTTGTGCTGCAGGGATGTGCCGGTGCCTTTCTCCTGATACAGCTCGAAATCATGAGTGTCACCACGAGAGCTGCATCTTATAAACACCTTGACGCCATCCGGATTTGACTTGTTTTTCACGCACTGCTTTGCAGCAATGGGACCAGTAAAAGGCACAACCTGCTTGTATATGCTGTTCTGGTGGTATGATTTGTCACCTGCGCCTCACAGCATCTAAGACCAGCTGCAGTTTTCAACTGTTTTCTGTGGGCAAAGTTGGTGGAATTGACTCTAAGTAATGCAGACCGCCACTGGAATAAACGGTTGACATGCATCGCTCATTCTGATACACTAGGAATTTTTCTAGTGGGCTGCCAATACATCCTGATTCTTGCGAACTTTAGCATGCTAATTATCATGAACATCCAAAGAATATTTTTACTTTTGCAATTATCCTCCTTATAATTTTCAAAAGGTACGGAAGCTGGCTCAGTCGGCGGAAGGCCATGGCTCAGCATCTTCATAGTCGATTTGAAAAATATGTTTTTTGTGACGTGTAATACTAATTCACAAATGTAAATAATGCAACACGTAAAAACGAGTATTTCTGAAACTCGACTTCCATCTGTCGACGGTGCTCGAGTTCACATAGCCGCTGTGTTTAGAACAAGCGTGCATGGCGTCCGAACAACAACAAAGGGCTAAGTTCCGGAAACGCTGGTTGCCACTCGAATTTCTGCGGCACTGTCCTCGAGCCTTACCCTATTTTGGGGATAATGTTGTATATCTGTAACGCAAAAGTCACAATTTTGGCAGCGAGAAAACACTGAGATACCAAAACAAAGCTTGTTTTGTTATCCGTAGCGGCATTTTGTGCACAATTGTGCACACGTGCACGCGACTTCAATTTTAAGACGCTAAAATGGTACCCTAAATCGCCTAAACTGTTCATGTGGGCTTTCTAGCTAAGCAGCCTCATACCGAATGGTAAAAAATGTTTCACTAAGCCACCTAAACACATTTAAAGCTAGTTAGAAATTGAACGCACTGCCTTCACTACAGAATGTACCAGCGTTCATCTTGAAACTCGCGGTATTGTTACTCTGCTTTTTGCTGCCAATGGTAGATGGCGGTATGGGTCCATACCCGAAGGGCTCACAGTCGAGAGCGTAGCGTTTCAGGCGGGAAAAACGAAAAGTTTGGCGGGAAAAAATTTTGAAATTAGCGTACACAAACGTGAACACGGTGACTTAATAGTCTATAATTAGCTACGCTACAGTCGCCAATCTCTACTGTTTGTTAAAATTAGGGACACACCATGCCGACCAGTATCGAAATGGGTAGCTGTCATAATTGAGCGAATTCTAGAAATCAGTTCTTGATAAGTCACGTCACCAAAGAGTTATCATGTCGTTTCGTCATAATACAGCTAAGTTTGAGCATGAAGGAGATACACCATAGCAAACAGGGATGTGGCAGGTGGTAGAAAGAGCAGAAATCTTCAAACTTGTACTTATTGAGCAACTGTAGGGCACAATACGTGTGTCACTTACGGCACACTTACCCCGCCCTCATGACAAAAAAGCGTCACGTGAGCAAAAACAAATATAGTTCAATGCTAAATAAAATCTTTCAATTTACAAATATAGAGCAGTCGTTTACGGAACACGTGTCGTCTGCCTAAAAACCAAGTTTTCTTTTCAGATTAAGCTACAGATGGCGTGCTCACGCACACCTTGAAACATTTTTCAATAGTACTGGCTTTCCGCTGTATTAATCCCCATGGCTGGATTGACAGTACTCTGTAAATAAATAAAATATTCTCAAGTGTCAACCAATAACGACTACGACCCAAAATGACAAAACGGTCAGACACTAGTACATCTATAAGTCAAAATTTTGATGGGATAGTAAGACACTTGAAAGACAGAATATGGGAACAGAAAGTGCTCTGATATTTCTATGTAAAGCAAAACGTCAGAGACGCGGTGAAGATATATATTGGATAGCAATGATGGAAAGAAAGCATGCAGTGGGAAACCATTCAAAGGGCTAAAATAAAGTAAACAAGAGGACACTTTACGATCATTCAAGGGGACGTGCTTTGATGTTTGAAAGGAGATCGGTTTACTTAGTACGCATAGTTATAAAGCAGGATTCAGTGTAATTGAGAAATGTGCATCCACGGGAAAGGTAAGGAAAAGGTGGAGCTTGCATAATTGAATGAAGACTTGTACTTGGCTAAGCTCATTGCCTCACATAGCGAGGGGGCTCCAGCCAACTACTTGAATGTGGACTAGAAAATAGGCGACACACGGCTTGAATAACAACTGAACCAGTTGTTAGTCAAGAGATGTGTCCTATGTTTTTTTTTTCTTTTTTCATCCAAATAGTTGCCTGAAGCCCCCTCGGTATGAATGAAGACACCACCCGGATTAGTGTTAGGGCATCGCCTACTTGAACCATTCGTTTTTAGGGAAAACATTGGAGATGTGAGCGGGTTGGCGCTCGAGATGAACTATGAGTGAGAAATTGGCTGCGGCAAACGCGGAAGATGAGCAAACAACGCAGGTGAACTAACTTTATTCTTTGTTAGGACTCAGGGAAGTTGACTAGTGAATATATAGGACGAGATCCTTCATTCCCATTGAATGCCTGGGCCGTCACATAATATTATTATTATTATTATTATTATTATTATTAATATTAATATTATTATTATTATTATTATTATTATTATTATTATTATTATTATTATTATTATTATTATTATTATTATTAATATTATTATTGTTATTATTATTATTATTATTATTATTATTATTATTATTATTATTATTATTATTATTATTATTATTATTATTATTATTATTATTATTATTATTATTATTATTATTATTATTATTATTATTATTATTATTATTATTATTATTATTATTATTATTGAGCGTTGCAGAGTGTAGGTCACCGCTCCATCATAAAGGGGATGCTCTTTTGTTCACCCAACCATGGTAATCGAAAACTCGCATAGTCTCTTGCGCACTGAACTAGGGTTACTCGAAGGCGCAAATCACATTTTTTTCCCTTGGCTGTCGAGTGCATTATTCACCCAGCCATCGAAAATGTTTTGCGTCTACCCGTTTTTTGGCACAAGTGAATTAAAGCAGTTCCGGGTGTTAAAACAGTTTTTTTGGTGTATTTAAAGATGTCACCCCCGGTGATGTTGCGTCAGTGGTAGACTGGTTTCGCTGATCGATGACGACTAAAATGTGAAAATATCCCTACGTCCGATAAGGAAATGCTATTACCACCACATTACCACACGCTGTCCCTAAATTCCGCAAATACCATGCGAGTGGGCTGATTGTAATACGTCGTTTCTTTTACGTTGAAACAATACTCGCACGCAATCACTGACGCACTTATCGAGCTAACCTATTTATACGAGTGCAAGATTATTCATACCTTGAGCTTCTGGTCAGCGTTCATTCGTTTGTTCGTTCATTCATTCATTCGTGAGCAATGCAGTTTACAGAAATTTTTGTCTGGAATGGGGCACGAGCATCAGTAAATGGATACTTAGCCACACCTCTCGTCCATTTCATCTTGATGAAATTTAGGTCGCGCAATTCATAACTTCACTTTGACAGACTCATTCATTCATTCATTCAATCATTCATTCATTCATTCATTCATTCATTCATTCATTCATTCATTCATTGCATTCGCGTTCCGCGGGAGGGCTGGTCATCGTCACCATCTTTTACCTGCGTTCCTTTGACGAGGTGCTGTCCCTACTCGCATGCCTTCAGCTTCTCGTCAACATAGAATTTAGGTTAGGTTAGATTAGGATGTTGTAGGCGGCCGGAGGATCTAGCCATGCATAATTTGTAGGCAATTGCCCCAACCGGTTTCCTTTTCGCTAATTGTATCTAATGTCCTTTGTTTTTTAACTATGCACGAGCAGGCTCTCACAAGAAAACCGCGAAAAGCGCGATCTAAGCCTGCATAATCCGGTGGCCTCTGTTATATTCCACATGCAGCATTGTGCCGGTACTCGTTGCATCTTACCCCAAACATAATTGTCGCTTACATCGGTCACATGCGAGGTCTGTAGCGTTCAAAAATTTCAAAAGAAGTCACGACACTTGTTTTCTAAAGATCGAGTGACCACGCGGAAACACAATATCAGTCACGCTGTCCCATGGTGAGCTTAAGAGTTGCAGTTCTTATAGTGTTTTATATCACCATTTTTCTTGCACTTCGGGCACAATGACGTCGCGGAGAGTCTGATCTTGTGGAGCCATGCTTATGTACGCGCTGATCCCGTTCGGATGCGATGAAGCAAGCAGGCCTCTTTTCTTGATAGCCCTTTTGTCACACATGGCTGATGAGGTGTGAGCCATAACAAGTGAAAATGCTTATTGGCAGCTTCTCGTAAAATACGCAGACTGTCTTTAGGAGCCTTACGTTGGTGTAAGCTTCGGAGCACTCCGGGGAAGTCTGTCAGCCAGCTCAATACCCACTATACGCACCTGTGATACAATCCATTGAAACTTAGTGTTCATACCAATGCCATGCAGGTCTTTAAGGATTCGCAGTGATCTTTTGAGTGCATCGATCCAAAACCGATTCATGTTTTAGCCGCTGCAAAGCGGGCTTACTGTCCGAAAGCAGCACAACTTGCTTCTGCCTACAAAACTTCAGTTTCTTTAGGGCTGCCTGAATTGCCACGCTTTCACACGCTGTAGATGAAACACCGCACTCGAGTCGTGCTGCCCAGGACGCCTTTAGAGACAGGATCACACACGCTGCAGCGCTTGCTCCACGCCGATCCATCAGCGAAAACTTTCAAATGATTGGCGTACCTTTCTTCAATGTATTCAAGTTTCAAGTCCCAAAGAACGCACATCTGTTGTGGGTGTGAAACGCTTGCTGTGCATCCATGAAATCGTCACCTGACCGTCGACATACTCATGTGACCAAGGTGGGTCGTCTCCAAGTTCTCTGAGCTTGGGGAAATCAATGCGAAGGTGATGAAGGGTGTTGAGGGCCACGAAAGCTCGCGATTCCAATGCGTCGCCGAAGGCGGCTGAGTGTAGTGCTCGTGCTGGGCTCGATTCGCCAAGTCCGCGAAGCTGTGTCAGCAGTCGTTGAGAGGCGAGAAGACGTAACGGCGGAAGACGAGCTTCATGAAGCACCTATATGCTCGCTGTAAAGTTTGGCACTCCCAAAGTTACTCTGAGGCCTTAACAATTAAGTGTTTTCAGCCGTTCGTACTGTGACTGACTTGTAGAGATCAGAGGCAATTGGGAAAGCACACGATTGACAATTACTGCCGCGTGTAACTTTATCATTGATGTTGGGTGGCTCCCCCAGCTTGTTCCTGTCATCCTTCGAAGAATGCTTACACGGGTTGAAAGCGTTGACATCGTGATCTCTACTGCACGTCGAAAATTCATCCTGGTGTCTAGTGTGACTCCAAGGAATCTCAAGTACTTAACTTGCCTCATTGATACACCAGGAAGTAATGATTTCATCCTCGTTTTTCGTATTCACATACCTGGGAATGACATTCATCGAGACTTTTCAGCTGATATTGTTAGTCTAATAGATACACGATAGGTTTGTGCTTAGGGTATATCCATTTGCCCAATCATTTCCAATCGCTTATGCTGTATACAGACATCCAGATGCATATGTCGTTGGCATAGAATTTCAGTACTATTTAGAGCACGTACATCTATGTTCACTGTAGCGCGTGCTGAATGAACATCCCTATTATCCCGTAGAGCCGTGGCATCGACGGAAGAGTACGACCCGTCATCTGACACATGGCGAGAGTGCACGCCTCTAGACGTGCCTCGAATGGCTGTCGGCTGCGCCACGGTCGCTGATGTCATCTACGTGGTTGGCGGCATGGTACCCGAGGAGGACGATCTGTACCGTGCCGTGGACAGGGTCGACATTTATGACCCGAAGACACACACGTGAGTTCACACCGTAGTTAGTCAGAATTGATGAAGCGATTTTTTTGGGGGCCAAACACGACACACTATATAAGTAGTACTGAACGCCAAGTTTGGTTCTGGAGGCGTGGTGTGGTTAATCTCATCGAACAGTTTAGCTCACTTATTTTTTCACCGGTCATCAGTACCTCGTTACACGTGGGCACCAAAGTACCGACTGTTTTGAACTTGCATCATATTCCTATGATACTATCTATTCTAGCATTATTGAATTGTAATCAAATAAGCTGCAGAAAATGCTGTTTAATCCTCGGCGGTGTACAAGGGAAGTATAAATCAATTTGCTTGTGATAGTGAATAGTAATGGTTCAATAGGGTGTTATTGAGCTCGAGTGAGTAGTGTCATACATGATTTTGAGCGTTTTTCAAACATCACAACATTTTGACGATGAAAATAGAGAACAGCGCTCTTACAAAAAGGGTGAAAGAACTACTAGAAGGCTCAGCGCCACATGTGACCATTCTTTCGTTCTTCATCCGCGTAAAAGCGCCGTTGTATATTTTCATAGTGGAACTTTACTAACTCGCCCGATTTCCCTGTCTTCTGCAGTTACGAGAGTATTTTCACGATAATAAAGAAAACAATTATAGAGTAACTATAAACGAAAATTTTCACAACACTTCATATATCGAACACTGAGCCGCGTTTAACATCCCACGAAATTGGCCTTCCCTCAAAAGAGAATAAGCACTTTTTCCTGAAGGGGCTTCTCGCGTATGCACTTTAGAGCACGCAGCTGTAGTAGTAGAGCACTGCGCTGAGGGGCTAGAAACTTGTGCTTCTCGCGAAATTGTCCCATGGTTGCTTGTTTGTTACTGCGGCCGTTTGCCTATTTCGAGCGCCTGCCATGACTGAGTGAGTGAAACAACTTTATTGACGATCCGGCATAAAGTGGGAAGGGGTAGGGGGATTAAAGCGAGACACTAGCGTGCTCGGACGTCCCGGAGCAGCAACCTACTCGCGTCAAACCCGTGGGGGCGCCGCTTTCGGCCGCTGGCGTTCCAGGATGCTAAGCACGTGCTGGACCACATCTCTTTCATTGCCTGGCTCTCGGCTGACGATTTTGGTGCTTATGGCAGTTGGCATTACTTCTTGGTTACCCGGCGGTGGTGCACAGTCCCAAAGGAGGTGTCTCTGGGTGGCTCGCGCCTTCTTGCAGTGTTGGCATACATCAGTGGTGTAAACCTCCGGGCAAACGCGCTTTGCCCAGACGGGGGTCCATATTGCTTGTACTTGCAGCTGCCGTAGTGTGGCTGCTTCTCTGCGTTGTAGGTCTCGGTGAGGCGGTGGGTAGAGGCGTCTGCTCGTTCTGTACCACTGCAGAACGTCGGCGTAGGTTGTGATAAAATACTCTCCGTCTTCGGCATCGGGTCGTTGCGGCTCCGAGGAATGCGTTGACAGAGACCCGCGGCTAGTTAGCGCGTGTGCCTCCGTATCTGCCTCCTCGTACTACGTGGACTACGTGGACTGCGCGCACTACGTGGACGTGGCGAAGTATCCCCACCGGCCAAACACGTACGCAGCAGCAGTCATCGCAGCAGACACTGGAGCACTCACAACGTAGGGAAGCATACGGTGCAAGTCGCCCACGCAAGCCGAGGAGTTTGCAATCGCACTGGCACTAGCGATCCCGGATTTCCGCACGGTTCTCAGCGACTCGAAGACGGCAATAGCCTACTTTGCTACAAACAACGTCCATAGAACCACTGCAAGAGTATGTTCAACTATAGCAAGACCGGAAACCAACATTACCGTCAAGTGGTTCCCTGCGCACGCCGGGGAGCTGGACGTGGGCCCGAAGCGCCTGCCATCCAAATCTCCACAAAAGTCTTGTGAAAGGGAAGATCCTGTGTTTAACCAGCAAGTGTAAGACAGTCAGCACAGCTGAACGTGGATAAAAAATGCCGCATCGCTGCTGCGCACAGCATTTCAAGAAGTTCACTCAGTGCAACTCAGATAGAATTTGCCGCAGTCGAACTCCAGGTTTCCTGCACCCGAACGAGTACGCACAGCTATGCATGAAGAAGCTGAGGCATTACTAACGTCTTGCCGTGTTTTAATATGGCTAACGTCTTCAATACTACATAAAACGTGGTAATTCACCACGGCTGTTGGCAGTGTTTGGTGGTGTCAAAAAGAGTTCTGCAAATTACCACAGCACGATGACGTCATCATGATAGTGCATACCAACAAATTATATATGTTTCGTCATTGAGACGTCACACGAAAGTTTCATCACCAGACATCATTCCTTGGTCAAAAGGGGGCTGATCGCGAAGGAAGTGCAAAATCATCTGAGGCGCCGAAAGTTTCCATTGTCTTCGATTCCCGAGAAAGTAAGTAAGCTATACCTTGGGTGAAAGAATTGATTGAAGGGGCGCTGCGTATGTTCAATACTTCAATTACTGGAAAGAAGCAGCAGAAAACGGCTTTCGCTTTTCATTTCAGGGGTATGCATAACGGACCCTCCGAGGTTCTTTCCAGTCCAAATGTATTGGCGTGTGACGCTATGATGAATGGGAGACGTGGCCTGGCTCATACGCCATGTTTATTCCATTCTCATTTCTCCCTTCTCGGCTTCTACTTCTAACTCATAACCATATCTACCTTCTTACGCTACAGGATTCCCCCTCCCCTCGAAAGAATGCGTGTGTTGTATAATACAATGCATAATGAATGGGCAGTACTAGAACGCAAAAAAACAACATTGAAATGGACCGTATTTGCACATTACATTGATGTTCCCTAAGATCGCACATATTCTTCACAAGAGAGGGCAGCAATCCGGGGTTATGAAGTACAGCTCCGGTGGACGAGGCTGGCTGTTATGCTCTGGACAACATAAACATGCTTTGAGCGTGGAAACAGATGAAAATACAGCCGGTATTCTTGCAAAGAACGAACGAGGCTGGAACGCTTTGCAAGATTGAATGTTTTGTAGGCGTCCCATTTTTGTCGTGGGTCATACAAACGCCGTGCATGCAATTTGCGCGCCCGTTGATCGTGGCTCATTAGGCGCTGCCTGTGTTCCTGCAGAGCACAAGCGGTTATTTTGTGGCTTTTGGGGAGTTTTCTATGGTGATGATGCAGATGTTCTGACCGAAGGCGCAGTCTTGAACGCTGTTACGGAAAAGTTTCTTAGCTTTTCTTTCTGCGAAGATAGCTCAGATGCGGAATCAGTCTTTGTTTAGTGTATATTGATCACGACACTCTTCAGGCCGCAAGTATCCTTGCGATGTAGTTTTAGTTGCTCGTTGCCGACGTTGGTGTGGGCGTTTTAGCTGTTGGAGTTCCTCTTGTTGCTTTTGTTGGCATTGCTGATGTTGCACTGTCTGACGAGGTGGACTTCCTTTGGAACCATGAGCTCGCTTTTCTTTGTAGGTTGACATGACCAGCAAAGAGTTTATACTTGTTAAGGTGTCGCGATTTGTGTCAGGCAATGAAGATAGTGCGCCCGAATTGGCAGCAAAATCTGCTGAGGTTCTTGCAACGCCATTCTTGGTGGATGTTTCTGGTACAGGGCAGTGCCTGAGAGTTTATCCTTCCGAGCCTCCTGCGTGGGTTGGGCTCTCAGGGGGCTGGGAGTTCGACGGCGACACTGCGAAAGGATCGGTTTGGTCATATTTTAATTGGGAATGACTGCCTTTCTGTGGAACGAACGATGCGAGTTCTTCTGGCGCATGAAACTGAACTGGAGGTGACGCGCTTGACTGAGTATGCTCGGAGCTTCTCCGCTCTATTCCGACCATAGTGAACGCGTGAGACGCGAGGTGGGCACTGTGAGCGACCGAATATCCACGCGACGGAAAAGCAGAAGGTTGGTCAATGCGTGAAGACTCCTTTCAACTGTGATGACCGAGTGCGGTTGTCTGTGGATGGTGGGTTACAAGAAAGTCTTCGTCACAGTCGTCATAGTATTCTTTAAACCAAACGATGACCTCTTGTTTTATCTGTTCCCATGACTCGTCGTTTTGAAATATATGGGTGAGGTAGAATTTGGAGGCCTCACCGGAGATGTAGTCGGTAAATTTGGTGACCATCTCCCGTTCGGACCATGATGCAGCGGTTGCGTGGAGCTTGAACAGGTCGAACCAGTCCTGTACAGGTCCATCGTCCGCTGCTCCGGTGTACTTGGGTATGGGAAGGTTGGTCGATGATTCTGTCATGGTGCTGGTCGCTGTGCGCGGCCAGGAGATCATTCCGTAGTCGTTGTATGGTCAGGGCGTCTTGTGGAGAACTGCATCGATGATGAGACACTGATGAAGTGGCTGGGAGGTCTTCATCCTGTCCACTCGTGTGACGCTATGATGAATGGGAGACGTGGCCTGGCTCATACGCCTTGTTTATTCCATTCTCACTTCTTCCTTCTCAGCTTCTACTTCTAACTCCTAACCATCGCTACCTTCTTACGTTACACACACACACATATATATATATATATATATATATATATATAGTCCAGTAGATCCTCCGTGAGCGGTCACAAACGTGGTTTAATTCGATGTTTCGGCCTAGAGTCTGGCCTTCATCAGGATTAAAGGCGCTCAGCTTTATACAATCTCAAATCAGAGGGAAAGGAAAAAGGAAAAAGACAGAAAAAAGAAAAAAAGAAAAAAAGAATATAAGGTGGACTATCCTCGGGCGCCCCCCTTCCACTCTTCCTTCCACCTCCCCCTTCATCTCTCTCCTCTTTCTCCCCAGTGCCTCCTGGCACTGGCGGTTCAATGTAGGGTAAAAAAGAGCTTTTTTATGAAGTTCTAAGCATTTAACTACTCGGCGCCCTGTCAACATTTCGTCGTAGAAAGAGGGGTGCCGCGTAGTGTGGCAGAGGCTGGTAAGCGGGCGCAATGCGAATTCCTTGCCCGCTTCTGGATTACGCGTGCAGTGGGGGCCTCCCGACTGTGCACAGCGTTGCTGTTGGGCATGTCATGCATGGCACAATTGATAGGGTAGTAAAATA